AGTTTTTGAACACCAAGTTTCCTTAATTTCGCATTAATAGACGGAGAATTAATTAAATAGAAAAGTATTAATCAAAATGGGATTCTTTAAATTGAATAGTTGCCACATAAGCTCTGCCTAGATGTTGGAGATCGGTGATACTTATTATACTTAAGATGCCAACTTTTTACAAATTACATTTTCATCTTACAAATATTCATTGACATACATACAATCATTATGTTATTCATGTTGTATCTCTCTTGTCCTTAACATTTATTTGCTACTTGACAATAACGTTATTTATTTTTTCATATAGAACTTTTTTTTTACAAAAAAAAAACATATTTTAAAATTTTGATATTATAAAATAAAAAAATAATATTCCGAAGAAAATAATTTTTGGTACTCTGCCTAAATGTTGGAGAGTCACTAACAATTATCTTCTATGAAGATTATTATTTCATTTTAAGGATTGTTGTATTAAACCTTATGTGAAAAGAGTTATTTTAAATTTTACCTGGATGTTAGAGGATTTTAAGATAATTCTTTAACTTAAAGATTTTCTCAATATTTATAAATAAAAAAAATTTTAAAAAAATATTTTTTTAAATGAAGGGGAATTAGTATTAAGTTTCCAGTCAAAACCATTTTATCCAACATCGAAAATAGCTCATGATTAAATGATACCAATTTATGGGTTTTATGGAGGTGTTAATCCTTCTCTATACGTAACCAACTTCCAAACCCAACGTGATTTTCATAGATCGAAATTTATCTTTTTGACAAACTTTAAACTCGTTTTTAGAGTTTTATTAAAAATATAAACTTTTGGGTGACCAATCACACCCTAAAAAAAATTGGTGGCGAGTTCTCCCATTTATTTCAATTTTTAAATTCCTTTACGTCCGACGATCTCAAAACTGTTACGACACTTTAAACTTATTAGTGTAGTATTATCTCATATATAATGAATATCTAATTTTTTATAATTTTATATTCAAATCAGATCTTTTCATTTACTACTAATTGATTTTAAATTAAATATTTAATATGATATCAGAGTCATAATTTTTTTTATTATGATTTTTAAATCTATTAATAGACTTTTTTTTTTTTATATGTTATGAAACTTATTAATATAATATTGTTTGATATTTAATAAATATTTAAATTTTTATAATTTTATATTTAAATTAAATTTTTTATTTATTATCAATTAATTGTAAATTAAATCTTTGACGAAACCCCTATTTTTAATTAAACTATCATTCTTGAAGAATGGGCTTGATTCAGCACCTCAAACAAAGCTAATGAAATGACGGCAGAAATTGGGTAAAGAGAGCTAAATAGTATTTCTAAATGAGAACGGGAGCTCAAAGAAATATTTTAGTGAGTTTGAGTAGTGTAGCATAAGACGTGAAAATTTTGAACGTTGTCCCAATCGTGTAGCATAAGACGTGAAAATTTTGAACGTTGTCCCAATCTGCTTTCCCCTTCTTATCGGTTCTTTGGATATTCAAATTTAAAAAATTTTGTTATTCTGCATTGATTATCCGGACAGATCATCATTCATCACGAACCTTACATTCTACAATCATGACAATTTTATTTTAACAAAAAAATTAAAACAATTTTAACGAAAGTGAAACCTTGTATTGCTAAAACTCGTACATCTTAACTCTCCCATGTGAGGGAGCCTGCCCCAGGAATGAGATGTGCATGTGCCTCATTATATTAGTTGGATAGGGACAAATATTGAACCAAAATACAAATAAATGAATATAACAAAAGTAGATTTTTTAATATGTTTAATATTCATAATTAGACATTTGCGTGGACAAACTACTAACTTACTTCATCCATATTATTCCACTTTAGATAATAGTAATAGAAAAAAAAAACCATATATTTATTATTATGCATTGATTAATGATTACTGAAGGTCGCAATCCCTCGAAGGGCCCAAGGTCGACCCAGTCCTGTTATGACTCCTAGGCTCAAAACTTATTGGGTCACAATAGAGCTTCAATTTGCACTATCTATAGCTATTCTCATCTTTCTCAAACTCATTCCGGGCATTGACCTGAGCCCCAAATTTTACGTACCCACGAGCCCGTGTCGCTTATTATGCCCCTCACCCACCTCTTCGCCAATGTACGCATTCACCAACTCAAACTGGAACAGTATGATCGTCTCCTCTAGTCCCCGTAGGAGAAATGGTGGTACTTGAGCCACGTCGAGTGGCGGTTTTGACCCACCACCGTACAGTACTGCGGCATGGAATTGGTCGTAAGAGACGGAGTGTTTGGCGTTACGGTTAATAACACGAAGACAAATGAGGCAGGTGGCGGTTCGGGTGGAGCTTGTGAAAATGAGTTTGGAGAAGGAAGCTGAGTCGATTAGGAAACGAAGTACATTAGATTCCCATTTAAACCAAAACGAAATTGAGAGGAACATAAATATGATGAACAAGATTATAACTGCAGCCAAAACGATCGGCTCCCCGAGTTCCACGCGTGATGATTGTACAAAATTCAGATTCAGAATCAGAACCAAAGCCCAAGCATTTTCTGACAGCGGCTCTGAAAGAGTCGCAGGTGATTGTTTTGTTTTGGAACTGAGTTGAAGTAACTCCCATGTTTGTGTTTTTCTTAGCGTACAATTGAAGTAGACGCGAGTCAAAGAGCAATAAAAATTGAAGCTGAAGGAAATGGTGAGTTTTAGTACACGTGGCAGATGTACGTTGCTTTTTTCCAAAGACATTATGGTACTTATCATAGTTCTGATTATATTAACCAAAAAATCTTATACCATGGATGAAATTTACATGGATATCTTCACCAGTTTTTTTTTTTTTTTGTTATTATTATTAGTATTGTTTTGTAAATGTCTATTTTCTATGAATTATCCCATTCTTCTTTGTTAATTTTTTGGTAAAAAAATTTGCACAAAAATTTTCATTGATTTATTTACATGAGAATTGTTAATTTCTAGGGTTTATTGAGAGACGGCAAATTTAAATTAAGTCTTTTTTTTTTTTTTTTTTACAGATTCTAAGTTTAAGAATTGAATTCAACTATGCCGATAATTATGTTTCTTTTGTTAAATATTTTTTACTTTTTTATTGCAAAAAGATCATTAATAGAGTAGAAAAGTAAAATAAAAGATGAATAGAAAATCAAATGAAAAATAACAATAAATATAGTCTACTCGTTTCAAAATATTTGTCATTTTTTAATTTTTATAGAGTTAAAAAAAAGTTTTGATTTTAATGTATTTAATGTTAAATTTTAAATTTTTTATAAAATTAAAATTTTATTATTTTTAATATCAAAAAGTTAACATAATTTTAAAATATAAAAAAAGAATTTTAAATATTCAAAAAAAGAAATATGATATAATTTTGAGATATTCCAAAAAAAAAAAAAGATGGATAAAAAAAATGGAATAGAGGGAATATATAAAAAAAAAAAGTGATACCATACGAAATATTTTAAATTTTAGAAAACCAATTCAATTTTACTATTTGAATGACTTAGATTTAAATTCAAGTTTGAATATAAAAATATGAAAAATGAAAATCAAATTTCTAAAATTTGGCAAATCAATTGAATATTTTTCAGGTACAAATTCAAATCTTTTAGATTTAAACTATATGCTATTATATAATAGATATTAATTAATTAGAATTTAAGTTTGAAAATTCAGATTGAAATCATTTCCCTTCAATTCATGAACAAAAATGAATTTAAAATTGAAGGATTGTTTTGGTTAATAAATAATAGTTTTTTTTTTTTTTTTACCAAAGGTATATATGATAGTTGATAACAGATATTGAATTCTAAATCATAAACTTCCACTATAGAAATGTAATTAACAATTACAATTAGGTCTTAGGAAAATATAAAATGACTTTATTTTAAAAACATCTATAGAGAAATTAACTCTAGAAAATACTTTGTATAGAAATTATATATACTATATAAAAATTACTCTCATACATTAAATTATTTCAATCATACTATAAAATTTTAAATACTACTTAAAATACAATAAGGTAATGTCATATATCGGGATGATTAGTACTCATATTGAATACATAAGAAATTAAGCATATTGTTGCATCCATAATTATCATATATAATCAGATTGGACCGACCGATCAGACTCGTTTATTCAATGATTTGATGATTTTTTTAATTAATTTTTATTGTATTTATACTTTCATGCCGAACAAAAGATTATTTTTTTCATTCATAAACATGAATTTCACCATACAATAAATTCATGCAAAATTATTTCAAAAAGATCAAATTAATATCATTGACTATTCTAAATAAAAGGATATGTAAGTAAATGTCTATTGCTACTGATTAAATTTTTTTTGGCCACAGGAACTGATTAGTTAATTAATTAATTAAGGTGATATTATAGGAAAAGAATTTGTAATTAGTTTATTTTCTTTTTGAATTACCCAATAATGTATTAAATGAAAAACTTTTCAAACAATAATATTATTTTTTAAATGAATAATATTCTAAATATCCTTAACCAATGCATGTTGAGTGTTAACATTGTTAAGCCTACCTATAACAAAATACTTATAATTTAACCAAACAAAATGCTAATTAAACATAACAAAAAATTCTGATTATGTCAAAGTTTTCATCACATAAATAATTTGTCTATATAAGTTTCAAATGCAATTTCTGTACTTCTCTAGACCCCCTCCCAATCAACCCCTATTTTGCATTTCTTTTCCTACATATATTTCTAGTTTTTCCACAACAACTAAACAAAAACATTATTTGAGGGGGGAAATGGTAGTATGTTACTATATCTAAAAATTTAAATGAAATTTAAGATTTAATCTAATTAATTCATATAAAAATATTTTATCTGTATTTTAAAAATAATATATAATAAGTTTAAGTTCAAAGAACAAAAGTTCAAATAATAATAAAAAAAAAATCTACGAGAACAAATTCCAGAATTTCTAATTTGAATTCCACCTCAAGATTATGATCAATTCATTTTTTGTAATCCCCAAAAAAAATCAACCAATTAAGCATGAAAATATATATAAAAGAGAATGAACAGATTTAATTAGGCATAAACCTCGCAATCGTCGCGTTTTTCAGGTGCCAAAGCTCCATTCCCTGAAACACCCACGAAATTAACCTTCAAATCATCGCATAAAACTTTGAGCACCAAACTCCGCGTCCACCACGACCCACTTTTAAACGTCGCCCACACCCGAAATCTCAAGGCAAAAGTCACCGACCCCGTGGCTCGATCTTTGCCCATTTCTTGTGCAACCCAAATCGGCACAGCGTTTTGAGCTGAACCATTTGCGGAGATGACAGCATGTATTGTCGTATTGGTCTGGGTCTGCATGAAAGCTGGGTTAAGCCAAGAAGAACCAAGGGAATCTTCTTCGTTGTAAAAGATGGCACCCACGATTTTATCGAAGTAAAGTCTTAACTTATGGTTGGGGTTTTCGACTGTAAGATTTGTATCCCATGTTGCCGTGAAAGGATTGGATGATGTACTGAAATTGGAAACAGACATGTTATCTACCTGGAAAACTGGGACTTGTGGACGTAAAATTGCCCAAGTGATTAGGCTTGAGATGCAGGAAAGGAGAATCAAAAGAATCACAGCTGCAACAATTCCACGAACAAACCCTGAACAAGGATCATGTGGGCCCGATGCATAACCCTGATTGTAATAAGGGGCTGCCTGGTGTTGTGCGTAAGGGTATTGGTTATAACCATGAGGAGGTGGAGGACAGCCGCCAGGATATGGGGCATTGGGATACATCATATGTGGAGGGTATCCCATCGCAGGCAGATAACCTTGTGCAGGCGATTGGTGGTTGTTAGGTGGTTGTGATGGCGGTTGTGGTGGTGCTGGTGGTGTTGATTGGTGATTGTTATATGTATCTGACGACGGAGATGAATGATAATCTGATTGATCTCGTTGGTTTTGATGATCATCAGATTGCGAAGCCATTTTTTTTCTCTCTCAAGATTTTTTTAAGGGAGAAAGAGAGAGAAGATTGAGGTGGAATCAAGGAAATGAAAAAAATATTTTGTTAATAATAAGAGAGGGAGAGGGGGTGTGGTAAAACGCATGGGGAAGGGATATATGATATGATCAGTCCATTGTTTTAGGTTTTGAGCAAAAATAGACAAAAATGGAAATTGGATGGATTTGTCTATATCCATGGTTTTGGCATTCATTTTTCATTACTTGTTAAAAACAGCATTTTTGCCATGCAATTTTCTAAGAAAAAATAATAATAAAAAAAAACAGCATTTTTACCAAGCACTTGTATGTGAAAAATTGAAAATCGGTATTGTCCTTGTAGCGAACATGAAAAAAAATGACAATATATAAATTACTCAATATCATCTGTTAATAAAATATTAACATTGAATTTTTAATTTAAATGATTAAAATTTAATTTGATATAATAAAAAAAACCTTATTTTAAGAAAATTTTCAAAATTATAAAGATTTATAAATATGTATCTTGAATTCTCATCTAATGTATTAACAAGGATGCATGTAGACACATTCCATTTTCCAAAAAGAAAATAATTTCTTTCCAACTTTGTACATCAACAATAAATCAAACAATGAAAAACTAAAAACAAAATGAAAAGGGCATATTTAATGGAAAACAGGGTGAAATTGTATATCACTATAATATTTTCTTGCAGGTTCCATCAAATATTCTTCCAGACCCCCATTTTATTCGCAAACTTAGGTTTAGACCCTCACATATCATAGTCAAAATGGAATTCCAGAAAATTGCCCTGATTGATACTTTGAAATGATTCTTTTTTTCACGGAACACCGAGCAACCCCATTTTTCAAATCCTTTAAACTATGTTTAAGAACTTTGTTATGACATATAAATCCTTCGATCTACCGTTAGACATGAATTAAAAGAGTTATTATTAATTTTTTTTGTTAAGGTATAATTAATCATATGATCGAATCTAATTCATGAGATCAATTTAAATTCGAGAGTATGGTTACACATGAAAAATGATATAACACCCTCACAGTATCCATCTCAAATATGTTACTAATTTGATATCAAATTATCCAAGCTTTAAACATATTTATATTTTACCAAAATATTTAATATTAAAAATTAGTCTTAAAATTGTTTCAATAGTTTGATAGTAATTTAAGATAACTTTATCACATCAAGAGTATCCATGAAAATTAGAGTCCTACTCTAAAGAGATTCTGTTGTCAGATTTATTAGAGTATTTTATTAGTAAAGTCTTCCAATAATTTTGTAGAACTTATTTTAAAGCAGATCTCCCAACATTTTGATAAAATTTTTTTGTAAAAAGCTTTATAAAAAATTTTGATAATTTTATTAGGTCTTTCAATAGTTTGATAAGACTTAATTTATAAAGCAATCATCCAATAATTTAAAGGATAAGAATTATTTTTTATTTTTATACTTTTATTTATTTTTTAAAAAATTGATTTATAAAATTTCTCAATAGTTTAGTGAATTTCATAACCTATTTGAAAAGATTTTTTTTTTGTTTCTTTGTTTTTCAAACTTATTTGAAAAGACTTTTTAATTCTTTTTTTTTTGATCGTTTTCAAGAAAAAAAACTTTTTTGTTTTTTTATTGAGTAAATAAATAAATAACCAATAAAAAATTAAAAATTAAAAATAAAACAAAACTTAAAATATGAAAATAAATAAAAACAAAAAAATAATATAAAAATAAAATAGAAAAACTTTGCGATTGAATGGAGTCAGAGTACGAGGTTGGTGCGCGGATCATCGTAAAGATCTTGGCTTGTCCAAAACAACACATTTTTGGGTCACTATATAAATCATTTTTTAGCATTTTATCTCAAAAGCACCTCGCTCTCTCTCTTTCTAGACTGAAAAATTCTAACTTCCCTTTAAAAATACCCGAAGAATATATAGAAAACTTCAATCGAAATTTGAAAAGCCCATTGATTTTTGAAAAAGTCGTCAAAAAATTCAACCAAAAATTGAAAAAACCTACTGATTTTTGAAAAAGTTACTGGAATCCCATAGTAAAATTCAAACCTTACAAAAAAATTCAATCTAAAAATTCATCCCAAACCCAAAATTTTTCAAAAAAATCTAGAATTTTCAAATTCTTTCAAAATTTGTCCAGATTTCTCCAAAAATTCTCCAAAATCCTAATTCTAACCCTAAAAACCTAAATCAAAGCTCAAAGACTTCAAATCAAACCCCGAAAATCCATATCCAAAAGTTTCAGAACAAAAAATCTCCAATAACCAAAATTCACCCTTAAAAAATTTTCAAAGTTTTCCTTTTACCCTCCAGGTAATTGTGTTTGTTCTTTTGATTCTTGGTTTAATTTATAGGTATTCTTAGGAGAATTTTTAAAAAAACGAATAAAATCAATCAAGTTAAAATCTTGAGATTGGATTTTGCCCTAACTAGATTTTAGGTCTAGGTTCTTTTATGGATTAAATCCCAAAATCCTGTGACTTGGTTTTGTATTAAAACCGTTGTAGATTGAATTTCATTGATTTAGTCGATTCAAATTTTTAATTTTTTTGATCAATCACCGGTTATTAAAGAAAGAAGAAAAATAATAATAATATAAATATAATGTACTGTAGTACACTATATAATAATAATAATAGTAATGTAATATAGTAATATAATATAATATAATATAATAACAAAATAATAACAATCATACAAATTTTGATTCACTCTAAACACGTATGGATGTCTACAAACTTTATGTCTTGTTACAGCAGGCTCACCTTCCAATCCGATGCTTGGAAAATCCATCCTGGCAAGTTGGTGATGCAATTATATTATGCAAATAAAACCGACAATCAAAGCAAACATTGGAGAGATGACATCGAGTATGATTATGTAGGTTCATCATGAATGTTGATGAGCCTTGAAAAGATAAGAAAAAATTGCAATTACACCAAAAATCTCGAAATTTTAGATTGATCTGGTTCTGAATAATAATAACAATAATAATAAAATACTGATGAGTTTCGAGTAAAATATTTAGGTGGGACTTCAACTCAGATCCGTAGTGCAATGACTAATTAAGGTTTTATTGGAATCGGTGATGAGTTAAAAAGACAAAACGATAAATTCTTAATGGTGGAAATTTCTTCAACCATCTATCAAAATGAAGCTTAAGTAATATTAAAATTTGGCCATCCACTATATTTTGATTATAAGAAAAAGAGTAATATTTTTTAAGAAGTGGATATTGTTTTTGAATTTTTTTTTTACAAAATAAAAAAAATACAAATACCCTTAATTTTATTTTGATTTGTAAGTATCAAATTCAGTTATTCGCTTTATAAATAGTATAAATTACTTTCGAAAAATTGGAAAAGAGTTAGAAAAAGTATCATGTTTCACTCGGGAGGAAAGCCACAACTGATGACATTGAGAATAAAGCAAGCCATATGCTGATAAAAATGCATAACCTGGCCTATTATTTTACCTCATCATCGTACAGTGAATAGTTGAAAACTCCGTATCTAAATTTTTGAGCCACAAATAATTACAGTTCCTCACAAACATCTACAACTTTTGTTCGTTCCATGTCTTACCCTCAAAGAATTCACTTAGCATTCGCTCAAGGTCCTCTGGCTTGTATCTAATGTACTTCCCAGGGTTTTTCCCATTGTCGATCATCGGCCTGTTCATTGGGGAAAGCAAAAGAAACCCAAAAAAAAAACAGAATTATGTTAGATGAGATGGAGGACATGAATGAGGACAAAGAGAAGAAGAGAAGGCCAAAAGCATAAGAGAACATGCCCAAAACGTTTAATGAAAGATCTATAGGCGGGCAAGAGAACTTCAGCAACAGCTAGCCGCAAGGACTCGCGTAATTCACTGTCTGGAACGTTCCATTGAGATTGCCTCATATGAAGATCCTCAAACTGGACATTGAAAGTCTTGTACCTGTCTTTCACCATTGCTCTTGAAACTCCACTGCCTGTGTCACCTCCCAGTAGACCACCTCCACCACCTGATGGAGAAGCACCCTGAATGGTGAGACACTGAAGGATCTGCAGAACAAAAACAGAGCCACTTAGCATGTTATGTTAGCCTTATGACTGCACAGTTAGTCAGGAAACAGAACCTTTGCCCAAGAAATCCTCTTATACTGATTTGCATGCTGCTGAACAATCCGTCGGTGAATTTGAACCCAATCATCTCCCAACAAATCTGTGGCTTCTGACCTGTAAATAAATATTAAAAAGACATAAAAGCGTGTATAGTGAATCATCACCAACAAAACAAGGTAAACATAAAACACACCTTCGCACGGATCTCACTATGTAGTGAATGTTGTTCATCAGAAATAGTTGTGTCAATGCAGGGTCCTTATATTGCTTGGATTTCCCATCAAGGTTAGTCTGTAAAGCTTGCATGATCCTTGTAGTTACAGTAGTCAACTGAACATCAGCATCGACCGCACCATCATCAAACTCTTGAAAAAGTTGCTTCAGTGTTGATTGGTAGCTGCACAATTCAACAGCCATAATCAGATGCATAACGTTCAAACAGTATCCTTTTTTTTTATGTTGATGGAGAGAGGTCATTCCCAACACATGCCAAGGAAAATTGAAAAGAAAGCGAAGGCAACGACAGGACATGGAAGGAAACCACTGATACATGGTGAACTCGAGATCACGAACAATTTGGTACGACTATCAATATAAGATATTAGATATGCCACATTAAACGTAGCAAGTGCATTGCAATCAGTGAATCAAAGTGATTGGCTATCCAAAAATTACTTGGGACAATTTGAAGTGGCATAATATAATAAGGCTACAACAATACTAACTAAAAACTAGTTGCAGATAAAAGTGGAAATATACAAGTACAACTTACTCAAATAGAAACTTCACATAATTTATCACATAGCTAGTCAAAGGATGGACGGTTCCATCTAGAACAGCGGTTTTTGTGGCATCTTTCTCAACTGCTTCCTCAAAATCGACAAAGGTCTCTTGTGCTGTCTGGGCTAGCCGCTTTGTCAAGCTCTGAGCAGATTCCCGCATTTCAATGCAAGATTTACTTCCAAACAGAAATTCAATCTGTTAACATGCCCCCAGAGGGAGATTTAGAAGGGAAGAAAAAAAGTTTTAACTTAGAAGTCATGTAAATCAATTTGCATTTGTCCGTATAATGCATGTTGCAATTTTATGAAGGTGCACAGCTAAGTGAGCCAATTACAGCAATGCTAGTTAATCACTACAAAAATATTTTGTTTTGCACAGTGATTTTATGTCATCTTAATGGATATTGATCCTGGCCTTTAATTACATAAATGCAAGTTCATCCCAATGTTTTAAATCATTTTAATGCAGAACTAATCCAACCCTTTTTCAAACTCATGAGTTCCAATTTATGCGTGAATTGATAACAACCCATTAGAATATACAGCATCTATGAAAAGAAGTAACGGTTACACTACTAGAAAAATTAGTGATACCTCTGACTGTAGTTCTCTCATTATATCATACATATCCAACAGAACAAATAATTTTTCAGGTGATCTCTTGCTTTTGGCAATAGCCTCTCCAAAACTAAGGAGTACGGCTACACTGTTTGCAGTGACTTCAGCAAAACATTGATCCCTAAGAGAATCAATACCGTCAAGTATTTGATCACAGATTTTCTTTTCCCCAGCGAAGAGCAACTTGACCTGTGTCAAGTATTATGATAAGGTTAGAAAAAGACCTAGAACATTATCAATGAAGCAGAATTTCACACAAATCCTTACAGCAATACGCATGTAATGTATCCAATTCGCAATCTTAGCCTCCAAAACCTCCCACTGCATCTTTTGGACATCATCTTTACTAAGTCTCTCTACCCCCAATTTCCAGAGGCTCTGTTCCAAGACCGAAGCACGAGTATCCCTTGCATTTTGAAATATTATACCATTGGCATCAATTATTCAAGATTCTAGAGCTCCAAAAGTGATATCCAAACAAAGATCAAAGTTTTTTTCAACCAAAAAAGAATTTCCATCTATGCAGTAGTCTAATAAGTAATTTATGTCAAAAGGTAATTTGTGATGCCAAGTTCTGCACTGAAATTTTACATAAATTTGTGCAAAGTTAAACCGGTGGAGATATCTGTTACTCAGATGTCTTGAAAAATCCCACCATCTGTGTTTGAAACAGATCTATAAGACTACCCGGACTATAGTTGAGATCTGCACCAAATGATCAGAAAAATATGAGTTATGCTGAGCAACAAAAAGTTATCTTTTCAACTTCATTGCTTTCGTGATGTATCATTACTTAGCCAGTTGTCAGAATGAAAAGGTCCATGGACTGTATTAAATACACAAATCTGAGATTTTACACTTTGCCTACTTCAAGACTGTGCTTTTCCAAGGATAGATAGGAAAAGCAGTGAAAAGTTAATTAGATAATTCTTCAGAGATTCCTCATTACACATGAATTACAAAACCAAACACTCATGAAGTTCAAAAGTTATGATCACTAAGAAAAGAAAAATAAACATCTTAGTATCTGATCAAGGAAAAAGGTGTCACCTGTAGATCCTGAACAGCTGTTGCTGGTGGCCAGCTTGAACCATTTGTTGGGCTAAATCATGCAGCAAAGGTAGAACCCTGGGCGGAATAAGAGTTGGAGGTGTGAAAACAGCAATTTCTAAGTTCTTTTGGTTCTCAGAATGATTCTTGCTACCAAGTTCACCTTGCCTCCCAGGTGAAGTTGCTGATGGTCGTAGGGAGTTTGGTAAGCCATCAAAAAGGCGATCAGGTTCCACCGGCTTGCTGAAATTCAAACAACATGTAGAACTTTTTTAACATTTGCAATTCTAAAAGAATCATCCAGCAAATTATCATAATTCAGAAACTTTTAAAACCAACCTGTAATTTGCTAATAGCTTTCTAAACTCATCTTCTAATTTCGATAAAGCTTTTGCGAGTAAGTTATTGGCATGGTTAAGTATACCATCACTACTCTTAAAACTTTTATGGTTGGTGAAAAACTGAATATTGCTTCTCAGCTGATCAATTGCTTCTAGATAGCTCTCAAGGTCCTCATGTGGCTCTCTCAGAATCTTTGCTTCCGCCTAAATAATACATACATCAGTAGAAACACTAGCACTAACAATCCAAATGGCATCAAATTTCCACATTCATATGATATTATTGAGAGAATAGTAACAAAAGTTCCAAATCAGCTTATGTTTGGCTGATGGAAAGTACAAAATTAGAGATCACATTTTTAAATTTAATCATAATTTCGATTAATTAAGTAATGAAGTATCTTCCTTTATCAAATAAAACATTATCTCTGTTGGAAGCACCAAATGGATAGAATAAACAAATAATTAGGCTTTACTTAATCAAATACATTTTAATTAAACTATCGTAAATGAGCGACAAAAACAGAGAAAAAGAAAAACCTTGCACATCAGATCAAATTGTGCCAAAATGGTTTCAGCTGCTTTCAATGTCTTATCAATATTCTCATGCGCTATCCTGATCGAATGCGTTCGCATCTTAGGAAAGCCAAAAAATATAACCAAAAAAAAATAAATATTCAAAGCCAAAACCATAACAATTCTCTCAATCAAACAAAAAGAAAGAAATTCATGACATTGACAAAAAATTAAGAAGAGACCTGAGTAGGGCGCATGGCGGTCTCCAGAGCGGAGAGTCGGTGATCGAAGGAACCAAGAATGGAGACCATGCTTTCCGTTATGGTTTGGCTCTTCTGCAACGACTCTCTTACAAGCGCTGCTCTGTCCCTCAGTGCCTCCAATGCCTGCGGCACCTCCATTTTCCTCTCACTATGGCGAACTAGAGTGCTTCTCTGGTGGAGCCTCACTTGAATTCAGACGTAATCCTTAATTTTGAAACGATTTTTTTAAAATCTTTTTAATCGAAATATTTGATTTGAGCGGGAGTTGCCTTGTTGCTTTTTTTCGGTTTTTCTGTCTCTCGTTAGTTCGACGACAAAAAATGGAGTGGTTATGAAGGAAAGTGGGGTCAGATGGTGGGTCCGGTCCGGATTTTTTTAATTATATTTTTCAATACTTTTATGCCACATCACCAAAATTTTGCCCAAAACTGAAATGAAGGGTTAGTCTATTTGCCGAGGAAAAAAGAATGGTAATTATATTGTAGGTGGAGGGCGTGATGAAACTAATTAATTTACTTCCATTAAGGTTTTCAAGGGGATTTAGGTGCGGTTGTTAAGAAATGTTTTTTAAGTTTGTTTTTCACAAGAAAGAACCTTCTTCTTTTATTCTTTTTATTTTTATTTTTTTGCAATATGATATTCACTTTAATAATCTAATCAGTGCATTTATGATTTTATTTTTTAAATATTTAACACAAAAATCGAATCGTAATAAAATAATAAAATCTCTGGATGACGAATCTCCTTTATACGTATTTTCATTAACACTGTATAACAATTTCTTTCCATTCCTTTAATCGAATGTGTTAAAAAAACCTTTTTAGAATATCAGTTTTCTAAATCAATTTCTAAATTTAAATAATTTAGGAAATTTTCTTTAAAAAAAGGGAAAAAACCACTTGCATAAGGGTCCAAAGATATTAAAATTTGATGGAAAAGAATAAGGATAATGTCATCAATCCTTGAACTATAAATGCGATATTTAAATTTTAAAAAATTTTAATATAATATTTAAATTATAAATTTATTAATTAATATAATATTTTAAAAAAAATTTGTCAGTTACTTATCATTATTTGAAATTAATTACACTAAAAATGGGTGATAACATATTTTTAATTCAACTAATATATTAAATATTTTTAATATTCAAATATTATATTAAATATTTTATTATAATAAAAAATTATTGATGACATTAATTCAAAAAGTATCGATAATATGGATATATAGAATGATAATACCATCAAAGATATAGTCAATTTTCAAATTATTTTCATAACATTCATTGAAACAAATAGTTTTACAAGCACAATTAACTAATTATCAATGTATTTTTATAATTTAAGAAAAATTAGAATTCAAATTTTTAAATAAAAAATATATTTACATATCACTGAGTCAGGTGTTGGGAGAATTATCCATGGATTTTAGCAACTCATGAACATGGATCAAATTATCCATGGATTTACTGAGATTACGTTTCAGCAAAGTTCTATTAAAAAAATTATTGTTTTTGGGTGGGAAATGGAAAATGAAATCTAGTATATTTTTCTTTAATTCGGTTTGTTTGGAATCTTTGGATAGGGCGAAGGAGATGGTCTGATAGAGTGAAACCAGCAGGGCCAGAGCCGAAGACCCAGAAGCCTAAAAAGGATAAGAGCTTTGGTTTATAGGCCCTACTACTCCTAGGTCTGCAGTGGGCCTTGCTATTTGTTGCTGACAAAAGAAGGAATGTTTGGGACCATCGGATAGTTGCATGCTTAGCTTAGCTCCTTGGCAAGGTTTGAATGTCGATGCCAATCTAAAAACAGAAACCTGCAATGTTTCTTTTAGAATGTCTCAGTCTGCATTTTCGTACAGACACTAAGCCTCCATCGACCCCACTCATTCATATAGAACTTACCATTAATAATTTGACAAATTTCATTCATAATGATCTTACAACTCAAACTATACAATTAAACCTTTTTGATTCATGGTAGAAATCTGGAAATGTTTCTCTAATATAAATTCAGCAAAAGTTGGTTTCAGCAGTCGGGAGTAACGGGTTGATGGCCCAAATAAAACCCTTTTCAACCACAAGTCCACAACCCTTTGACCAAAACAATTTGAAAATGCTTGAAATAGTAATTTAAAGAATTTAACTGAGATGCCTAAAACAATCAAGAAAAGATGGAGCCATGGCTCTGCAAAAGGAAGCCATTAATGCTTACTGCTTTGTCTTCATCAAACAATGGAAAGCCCAAAGCACAAAGGGCAAAAGTGCTTTTGAGATATTCTGGCAGAACAAAGGCAATAAATACCAATAGAAAAAAAAAATGCAAACAAATAAAATTGTCTTTTTCAAGGAGCTTTAATTATTCTGCTAGTACTACTACTGTTATTAATAGGGCATAAAATACAAAATGATGGCAAAATGCAAGTCAATTCACCATAAAGACTTCAAAAACATTATTTATCTCTCTACAAAGCTAAAAAGGGGCTAGACCTAGTATTTTCTACGAAGCTTGTTATCTTTTCTTCCTACACTACACAAAACCCATAAGTTTATTTCACTTTATATCTTCTCCTCCAATCTCCTAGAGCTTTATTATTCTACCATTATCATATTGTCATGGCAAACCACTAGCACGCATGAGTGAAGAGAGGTCAGTAAGTCCAGTCCCTAGGCAACCCCATCTCTGGAGGAAGATGATAGTAGCAATCCTCCTGCTTCCCAACACCAACCCCTTTCATGGAATTCATCTGTCTACTGACTTGAATTTCCTGTGCTTGTCTACTTCTCAGACCTGCCAAAAGAGAAAAAAACAAACATGTGATCTTCTTTGATTGCCAAGTAAATCAAAATAAACTACCGCTTAGAAATGTTATAGCAAAAGAAAGCTTTCTCTTAGCAGCTACATCTAGCAAGGAGATTAATAAAGTTATAATGTAGAAATAAACTCTTGGGAGTTTCTCTCACCAAACAATAATAAATGTTTGTGCCAAATGGAATTCATTTTTTTGCATGAAAACTAAAGATAGATTCATTCTGTTTTCTTCATTTCATATAAACATTTCTATCAAAGTACAGAAATGATCTATTGTATCGCATCACCCTTTCCCTTGGTTTTGAACAGTCTAATTTGTCCAAACTGTAACAAAAATGAAACACAGACCACATTTCTTCAACAATAATCCTTTCTTTCATGCTAAAATATCTCATACAAGCAAGAAGATGAGATAAACCTTGACTAGCAAAGAAATGGCACAAATCATAAACATCAAAACCCAATTTTAGCCCAAATTCATTTTTTTTATCTGTCAAAAAAAATTATGCAACAATGAACAAACACTGCACCAGCTGTCCAGCAAACACTGCAGAAAGCCCCATGCCTCAATGCCGAAAAAAATAAGAAAACATTAATACAGAAACGTGAAAACCAAGTAACACTATTCAACTACAATGCCAAAATCACTAATTCATTAACACTAAAAAGACCCAGAAAATCATTTTTTCAGCATGATAAAAGGAAAAAATAGAAACATACTTCGTTTCCTTTTGGAATCAGAAGTAGTGGTATTCTGGCTATTGTTAACAATGCGGGGATGAAAAACTCCAGTGCCTCCAGATTCTCTCACCAAACCACCACCTAACCCAAACTTACTAGCATTAAAACCATTTGCTTCAAATTGCAAAACCCGGTTTTGAACAAGCCGATTCTGTTGCCTTTGCAGAACCCTAGCCCTTGCTTCAGCGTAGCTCTCAACCTACAAAAATAAATAATAAACGACAACCCATTATTTAGTCTTAATAACATCCCATCATCACTGTAAAAAATGTCAAAAGCACTGAAAAGACCGTTCATGACTGATAAAAACACCAAACCTAAAGCCTTTTTCGTACCTGGGCTTGAGTTGGTTTCAACAGCTCATAAACCCGTTTAGTATCGCCAAGAAATGCACGGGTTCTGAAACCGTATAAGCTTTGCCCCACTTCAAAACCAGTGCCATTCATCGAACCGTAACGAACCGGTTCTTTAAGCCGCTGCAAAGTGGGAGTAATAAAGAACACAACATGGTTACCGCGCACAAAGCCATGCAAACCAAGAAGAAGTAAAGGATAAAGCAAAGAACCTCAAAGTTAGTAGCTTTGGGAAGTTTCTGCTGATATGTAGGAAGAGAAAGAGCCGCATAACGAGGAGCCAAGTCGTCCATGGAAGAGAAAGGAAGATGGTGATTTTGGTGAAGGTGGGGTTTGAGTTTGGCAGGGACTTCGTTGAGGAAAATATCAGAAGGGAGCCAAAGTTCACCATCATCTAAATTTGGAGGGAAGTTAGAAAACTCGTTCGCCATTGTTTTGGCTTTGGTTCTGCGATCACAAGAAGAAGAAGAAGGAAGGAAGGAAGGAAGGAAGGAAGGGAAGGGAAGGGATTTCAAGGGTCTGGGATTTTCTTTTGCCTTTTGGGTTTCTAGGAAGAAGAGAAGAATATTGGGAGGTCGGAGGGGGGAAGGCTCTGCTTTCAAAATGGCGTTACAGGTTCTCCATTCTCTTCTTTAAAAAGGAGAGAGAAAGGTTGGTGGAGAAAGGGCATGTTTGTTAGGCCTTGTTTGGTTCCTTTGAAGTAAAAAATATTGCACTTATCATCCTAAATTTTTACTATTTAATTAATTTTGACTTTTTTTTAAATAATTTAAATATGACTTCCGTCACTATAATTTTAAACGACACATTTTCTTTTAATTTCAAAATTTTTAGTTTCATTAAAAGATTATTTCGTTTAATCCATCGGCAATTATACTTAAATAGTATCTAAGTGTCTTAAATTAGATTAATGGACTTTTTTTGTATACAAATTGAAATTTTGATGAACAATGTGATTTTTTAAATTATGAAAATCAACTAAGATGTTTGGATTAAATTTTAAGACAATAAATGCAATTTACTCAAAAATAAAATTAAGCAAAAATTAATAAGAAAGCAAAGTTTTTTAGCATGAAGTGAGTGGAAGAAGCAAAATGTTCATTTCTTTCTTTTATGGGATCGTACATGAAATTATACAACTAATATTTTAAATAACTTTTTAATTGCATGATTAAAAGAGAAATTATATTATATTATAAAGTATGAATTTGAGTTCAAACAATATAAATCCACTCCTAATTAAAAACAAAATAGTCTTTCTATTCTTTCGTCTTTTACTTAAACAAACATTAAATGAGTCATTCAAGTCTATCACTTTATTTGGCTTGGCTTAGTTGGCTACTACAACAAATGTATTTATCATTTTATCTTATGGTATAAAATTGGGTTTTTTCTATTTGAATTGTTTTGAAAACTCACAAGGCATAACATCAAACATTATATAACCTAAGCAATAAATATATAAATAATTACAAATTAATTAACTAACTTGAATTGTTAAAGGTGAAGTTTTAATTTAAAACAATGATTAAATAAATAAGTAAAATTCAAAATCAAATAATAAATAAATCTATTAAAAAGAGCCAAACAGGGAATTAAGTTGCTATTTGGTTAAATCAACCGAACAGAGGTCACGTGACCAGTCGGCACACGCCTATATACCCTACAGAGAGTCAGGGCCGTGTTGATCGGCTCGCCCTCTCCAATCACTTCTCTGTCCTTTTTATCTATATCTTACCCCACTCCCTCTCCCAACAAACGTGTTTCACTCCCCCACTGTTAACGAAAGATAGGTCCATACTAACACGTGGTTTACTTAGCAAAGCGAGTACGGGATTCGTTATACTCAGAGGCATGCGAGCGAAAATCGTGGAAAGGCTGAACCAACGGATGCTGATCTGCATTACACTTTATACATATAATATCAGTCCGTCATTTTCAGTTACATGTTCGATCCACTGTTCACTGGGGACAGGTGTGAGTTACGGTGCGAGTGATTCCATTTCTGCTAGCAGTGAAAGGTGGGGCCTTTTCACGGAAATGGAAATTACATGGCTCAAACTTGAGAAACGTAAGCTTCAGGCTTCAGCGGCTTTTGGGCTTTTCGGCCATTCTTTTGGGCTTGAGTTTCACGCTGGATTTCAAGAAATTTTCAAATATATATATATATATATATAAATTAATAAGTTCTCGTGTAGAAAAAGATATTTTTCACATTGGAAATAATAAAAAGAAATAGCTACAAAAAATTTATTATGAATTACAAATGCATTTTTATCCATTTAAAGATAAGTAAAAGTATAATTATAATCAATGAAAATTTTAAACTTAATATTTAACTTAATTAATTTATATATTATCAAATAATATCAAACAAATCAAAATTCAAAATTCAATATCTATAATCATTTTATTTTTTAAATTACGATATTTTTTATACCAAAAATAAATTTTACCTACCTAAGTACTAAGTATCGCCAAATTCACATTTATATTATATAATTAATAAGAAATTTTAAAAATTTAAAACTAAAATATAAATAATAACAGTGAACTTTGATTTATTTTAAAAAAATTTCAACTTTTAAATTTATTTATTGATTATATAACAATTTATAAATGATGATATTGTATAAATTTTACATACTATCAATATATGAAATATAATTTTTTTAATATAATAATGAATACTTTATGGAAGTATATATGAAAAGAAAATTGATTATTTGACTTTGGAGTTGGCAAAAGACCCTAAAATTATTGGTTACTAAAGGTTTAAGTTATATTTAATTCACTTATATGTTACCGATCTAAATCTTATTAAACACATAATTTTAAAAAATTAATCAATATACATATTATTTGAATTAATATTCAATTGATTATAAATATGATTGCTTTTAACTAACTAAAATCTACTTTTTTGGGATAATTTAAATTATACTTCAAATATCAATATTGATATCAATGTATTAATGGTAAATTAATAATAATAGTATAATTTCTGTACATCAAGCCAATCTTGCGCCTAAAAATTTATGCAACTTGACTCTTAAAAACTTATAAAAATAACTAGAAAAAAAATTACAAATATATAAGAAGAAAATTTTAAAATTTAACTAAATGATTAAAGTATCGTACAAAGTAACTGTTTGTGATTTTTTTTTGTTATATCAAAAAAGTAAAATTTTAATAAAAGTAAGGAGAAAAAAGAGAATTTTGACTCGAAATTAGGCTTTTAATGTCTTATCAAATGACTTTAATCACTATACCAAATGCTTAGAGACATTGTTGGGGATATTTTGATGTTGAAAATTTTTTAGTGTAAGATGGATATGAATCTTGGGGAACTTAGAAAAGGCAATACTAGGGAATTCAAACTTTTGTCTTGTATCATTGATGTAAGAAGAAATGTTAATGATATAATAAAAAGTTTAATATGATATATAAATTTAAAAAATTTTTAATTTAATATTTTATGTATAAATTTAGTAATTAATTTAATACTTGAAAAATTATTTATACATTATTTGTCATATTTGATACTAATTATATTAAAAGTAATTATTATAATAATTAAAAAATTTCATAATTTAAATATTATATTAAAAAAATTTAAATTTAAATATTATATTAATGATTTCGTTATAATTCATGAATCATTTATAATGAGAATAAAAGATTGTTATGAAAAATGTTTTTTTCATTTTGTTTTTATAATGATTGGATATAGAAACAATCAAGTTTGCACTCTGCATAATCAAACGCTGATGGAAATGCTATAAATTTTTTCTTTTTACTATTAAGCACTTTGTTTCATAAATTCTATCATAGTTTGATTTTTGATGATCATATATTTTCAATTTTGACTATTTTATTTTAATACACTACTAATTAAAATGTAAAAAAAAAAATTCTTACAAAAAAATCCCGTTAACCGAATATTTATAGATACCAATTAAGGTTTCTAACTAAATAGAATATATGTTTTTATTCCGGTTACAGGTAACTAGAGGAACCCATTATGGTTTATAATTAAATAGAATATAATCTTATTATGTTTAGACGTAAGTAAATAAATAACGAATAATTTAATAAATTATTAAGATAAAAAATACACAAAATTAGAATGATTAGAAAAATATGATAGAATAAAAAAAAGAATCAAAATGATATAAAATAAAATCAGAAATTATTTTATGAAACAGATGAAGTATTAAATACTATTTCCACGGGAACACAAAGTTTTTAACTTTCCAATTTTCCATCCCTAAAACAAAAATTAATACAATAATAATAGAAAAGGATAAGACCAAGAAATCAGCAGTTCTCATCCTGATCAAGAAAAAATCCAAGCTCTTTTAAGCCTTCCAATTTATATTCCTTTCTCATTTAACTCCAACATCTTTCACAAATGTTCATTTCCACCCTTCAATTCAAAGAAAAAACCCTGAACATAATAATTTTCACGTCATGGCAAGTACAGTCCACCCAACTGTGGACCAAAAAAATTTCTTCATCTTTCAATTGAACCCCTCTATTCACCAGGGCCTAAAACAAAAAAAAAAAAAGAAAAGAAATTGTACTACAACCTATGTAGTTTCTTAATTTTTCCACCAAGATTTATTTTTTTATTAACCGTGGCCTTTTCCGGGTCGAGCAACCGGTCCGGCGTTAGACCGGAACCCGAAAGTAATAGCGTCGTTAACGCACCAGTGAAACCCGACATCTCTTCCGACAACCTTAGCGGCCTCACACTCTTCACAAACCAAACTTTTCGATTCCCTTTCAATTCTCAAATTTGCTCTTCCCAAATTCGCCAAATACCTCTCTTTCTCCATCTGCAAATCCCTTACCCTTCTCTCAAATTCATCCAATCCCGTAAGTACCCTCGTGTCCATCCAATTATTACCTACATCACCTTCTCGCCTCAACAACATAACGTTTGCCGGCGGTTCCTTCTTTATCGCGGTGACCAGAGCAGACGATTCCTTGTTCTTTCCTTTTCTTGTCCCTGACCGCCGGGATCTTTTCAATACGACGAGGAAGAACCAGTCCTTTTCGCGAGAAACCGCTGTGAAATTGACTTTCCCGGTGATTGGGACACGGTTGCGCGGGTTGTTACTGTCAGCGATGTAGACGGAGAACTGGTGAGGCGAGATTCCGATCTTACGGCTGAGAATCGATTGGAAAGCCTGGAAATCCATCGCTGGATAAATAACGACGTTCCCTATAGCAGTTTCGCACTCTCCGTCGAAGAAAACAACCGCAAATGAAACTCCTCCTCCACCACCGTCGGACTCCACCATGTTGATGATGTCGGCTTTGAGGAGAAGAAATTTATGTGAGAGAAAATGAAAAGAAAATTGAAAACAAAGTGCTGATACAAAGAGAAAGGGTTTTATATAGAAAAGCTGCGGGGTTTATCGGGGCAGGTACAAAAGGGTAAATTAAGCAAAGGCGGTGAGGGTAGTTTTGGAAAAGAAAAAAGTTGAAGATACGTAAGGGGACATGGGTAGGCGTGATGGGGACTCTTTTCATTCGAACGTTTTCTTTAAAGAAAGTGAGAGAAAAGCTTGGGGCTGAAGGAAAAGAGAGTTGGGTTGGATTTTTCGGGGGACAGGACAGAGTCAGAGACTCGTCAAAACGACGCAGTAAAATGGCAGGGTGTCAACTGGTGGGAAATTCAGTTTTTAATGGGATTGAGAGACGAAATTGCACTTGTCAATTGAGTAAATTTTCCACGGTGCCACTGTGTTATCGTCTGCCCAAATTACCATTGACAGATAACTGGGCTTTCTTGACCATTGAAGGTCCCCCTGATGGGTATAGGAAAAATGTCGGAATTTGCCTTGCAAATCCTTCTAAAAAGGTCTCCCTTTTCTCCAATTTTCTCGTTAGTTAATTTCAATTTGATGTTTATGATTTTTTTTATAGTAATTTTTTATTTGGATTTTTAGATATTTATGGCGTCGAGGATATATATTCCAAACGGCTGGCAAATGCCTCAGGTATTTTGCTTCCTTTTCAAAATTTCTGGGTTTTAGGGTTTAGATTGGATTTTATTGGTTGGATTTTATTCGGGTTTTTTTTTTTTTTTAAAATTTTTGTTCATCAGTTTCCTATTGGATTCTGCAGGGCAAAGTTGAGCATAGTTCCTGGAATGTTCATTTGTTTTTAAGTTTAGTATCGGTAGAATTGAAATTGTTAAAATCCTCTTTAGTTCCTGCATTGTCTACATGTAAGTTGGCACTTGCAACTTCCCTGTCATTAAATGCGAAATCCTCGAACTTTTGTGCAGTGAAACAAGAACTTAGTCTATTGGTCTTGGTGCAGTCATGTCCATTACTAACAAGGAACGCTTTGTATGAAAGAGTTCGGGGTATCAATAATGGATTCCTCTTTGGAGCTGAATGCAAATGCTTCTTGTTTCTGTGACTGTATCCCTTAAACCAACTGTAAGTTTGAGGGTGGAGTATCTAAAGCATGGGTTTAGGCCCTTCAATGAAAGTGTCCAGAGGCACACTGTTGACCCTAATCATCATAAGATTTGTGAAAACTTGTTTAATGGAGTTATTTTTAGGTGGAAATGGAATCTTTGATGAAACTAGTGGAATAAGATAATATTGTAGGTCATCTTAAGAATTGTTTAGGGATATGATGCATGTTGATATTAGTAATGTACTCTTCACTTTGGGCTGTTAGGGTTAACTAGTATGAGCTTTTTAAAGTGTCTCTTGGCTTCTAAATCTTTGAATCTCATAGATTTATCATGTGCGTATGCCAATTGTCTCGAGTTTGTATTGTGTAGGGTGGTGCTAATAATGGTGAAGATCTAAGAAAAGCAGCCGTGAGGGAACTGAGAGAAGAAACTGGCGTTACATCAGCTGAATTTCTTGCAGAGGCATGTTTCCAGATTATTTCCATTAAAATAAATCTCTGTTATATCACATCTCAAATGATGAAACTATTATCTGTTGAAAGTTATTGAACTGATTTCTGACATTCGATGTACAGGCACCTTATTGGCTGACTTATGATTTCCCAATCAAAGTGAAAAATAAGGTTAATCGTAGATGGGGGACAAATTATAAAGGCCAAGCACAGAAATGGTAAGGAGACGTCTGTACTATAAACATCTAAATGCATCTGATATATTGAAGATCAGTGGTGTACTTGCATCAACTACAATCGTGTGGTTCAGCTCACTTGAAAGTCTGATTGCTTATGTTGAGTTCTGCCTAATGTTTTTCTTCCATCATAATTTGTGAATTATTGCTATGAACTGTGTGATAATTGGTTGCTTTGTGTCATGCACTGTTTATAGTTAGAATCAACTCTTAGTCAAATTGCATTCTTGTGTATTTTTCATTAATTTTGGGGTGCTATGTGCGATAGTTTGGTTATAATAGCCTGTCTTTTACCTTCCATCTGGCTTTTTTCGCATATTGATTACCTTCAATCAAAATTTGCGTTTCTTATGCATATGACATGACACATTAAAGGAACAACTCACTTTTATGATTCCCACTAAGCATGGTTCAGTTTTTACTTTGAATAATTTAATGTGGAGTTGCTTAGCCATTCTCATCAAAATCCAATCTTTCTCTAAATTTGTCTAGTAAGCTTCCCGTTTTTGGATTCTGATTAAAATGCATGCTTCTTATTTGACTTTCTCTGATGCTCTCGAGATAGGTTTCTTTTCAAGTTCACCGGAAATGATGAAGAAATCAATCTTTTAGGCGATGGTTCCGAGAAGCCAGAGTTTAAAGAGTGGTCATGGAGGTTACCAGAGCAAGTTGTAGAGCTTGTAAGTAGCTCTAGTGACCTGATCCTTTATTTAGTGGTCATGGAAATCTGGTATTATCTTCGGCTAATGCTTCGAAACTATTTTTGAGCAGGCCGTCAATTTCAAGAAGCCAGTCTATGAACAAGTTCTCAAGGTATTCAGCCCCTACTTTTCATTGGATGCAGATGAAGGGCATTCAACCAAAAATGAACCTAATGGAGGAAAGGTACATAAAGCAAACTAGAAAGAGTCATCTTTTCTGCAGGCCCAAGCATCATGATTTTGCATTGTTGGGGGGCGTGGGTTGAGTATGTCAAAATAATATTGGAAAATTTTGTGATCAAGCTGATGCATATGGAATGAAACTTTTGCATGAATAGGTTCCATGTTTTTTTTTTTTGACTGTTGAGGATATTCAAGATTCATGAACATTGTCTTTTGCCGTTGCATCGACTCTTGGAAATACGATTTGAGTTGGTACCTTACCCTTTCTTGTGAACAGTATATGAAATAATAAAAGTCATTCAAGTGGCATGCTACAGACCATGTATATACATGTTTCTGAACATCTTCCAACAGATAAGAAATAAAGAAAGAAAACAATGAATTTGGCTATTAATTATCTAGCACAGCACCAATTGGTTGTTTTATACACCAAGAAAGATCCGGTGCCTATGTAGTGGGATGCCAATGCCTGTCCATCTGAACTTGGCTGAGAAAATGCCAACTGAGATTTTTCAATAACAAAGCCCATACAGAAACTTTTCCTGCATTTTAGAAACAAGCAGCACGGTTATTACAAATTGAATTGGAATTGGATCAAGGAAACACCATATTAGACCTTCAATTCAATGACCAAAATCCAGGATGAAATTTCATGTAACGGTTCCCAAAAGCATAAAACAAAATAGCCCGTGGAGATTGGCTCTGAAAGGGCAGATATTTTCAATCCCCGCCTCCAATTTTTTTTCTGGTCAAGGGTCAAGTCCTAATTTAATTTGCTTATTTGATCTTAAAGGATAATCACATTAAACATCAAAATTTGCACATAAATGAAATATTATTCTTCTTATTACACATACATTGACAGGGATAAAAACAGATTTTACAACCCATGAATCTGTGACTGATGCTGATGACTCAGGAAAAACCTTGCTGGATCTGAGGAAGTGCCCTACTTTGTAACATTGAAAGAAGGCAATATAAGCCTACCTTTTCCGTTCTTTTCTCTTAGCAAAACAGCCCACTTGTACATAAAAAGGACACCAAAATGCTACTGCCCCCACCTCTTATGCCTTTAATCACTTGAATGTTAATCTAATTACTAAGGTTAGCTATGCATAGATAGTATCTATGGGATTCAAGAAAGCAAAAGGGAATTAAGGATTGAATTAAAAAGGCAAAGAGAGAATAACAATACAAGAATTGTTGAATTTTTATTGTGTAGACTATGAGAAAGACCAAAGCAGATCCGCCAAAACCATCTACAATTAAGTTGCGGGATCAATTGGAAGTAAAAATCAAATGAAAAACAATAATATTTATCATTAACTTCACAACATTGGTTCTGACAAGATACAAATGACATGACAGCAAAAGAATCACATATAAATCTACAAACTTGCTAAGTCTCGTAATATTAATTAAAACATAACAGAATGGTATTTGGTCTTGTTAGAGAAAAGGCAGAGCAAGGTATATAACAGAAGGCTATTTATTTGTGCCCTATGAGCAGCATATAAAAAACAGCTAACAGGAAGATTCCAATGATTCCAAAGTAGAGCGCCAGTATGCATATTAATCAATTAATATCTTAGGCTATGCTTCAACTGATTCCTCATTGTGATATAAACCTACTTAATTAGTTTGCTATAAGTGGCAAGGTCGATTTATTACAACTTCAAATTTCCACATAGCTTTTAAGTATTAAAGCATCGTCAGACTAAGTACAAGACAAAGTGAGTAGGCATCCAACAATGAGTTAGTTTACTATGTGGAAGACAATCAAACACTAAAAAGAACTCAACCCATTATTGAAGAACAGTTGGAATTAACTGCAAAGCTCAAGGATTTACCTCACTGCTTCCAATAATTGAGTAGCAATGCCTTTTCTCCTGTTGGAAGGAGCGACCCAGATTGCTCTAATGCCACAAACAGCAGGTATTGCTTCTTCTCCACAGACAATTGCTCCATTGTGATTTTCATTTAACACCTCAGAAGGAGCTCTTTTAATGACTTCCCTCTGTAAAACAATTTCCCCAAACTGAAGTTTGCTTGAGTTCAACCTTTTTTGCTTTGCTGGGGCACCACCATGCTTTTCACCTACGGAGCATGAGAGAACTCTGAATGCTTCCTTTATTGGTTCTGCAACTAGGCATCCAGAAATTCGTTGAGAGGAAACAAACAGGTATAACTGCAAACAGTAGAGTGAAAAAATCCAGTTAACTTCTCAATCCAACCATTGATACAAGATTGGAGCTTACGAATTGTCTCTGCACCTGTTTGGAGCTAAAATACAGCGACATAGAAATAGGATTAAAATTTAAGCAACAAAGTGATTAATGCTACTACAAAAATCAAACACACTAGAGTATAAGCTGATGTTTGGGAATAATGAAAAATCATTTGCTAACACAATTCGGACAGTTGAAATGGATATTTCTAAATTATGCGTAATGTACCAATATTGCTGATGTGTAAAGTGGAACCAGGTCACCTTACAAAGCTTGTGAAAAATCCAGCCTCCACCAAGCTCAATCTCCATCATCTTCACAACCTCTTGCACCTGCTAATACAACAGTATCCCAATGAAGAACCCCACAATTATCCATTACATCATTAAGTTACAATAAATTATAAAAGCTAAACCATGTAACCACTATCTCAAAAACCCAAAATCGTAACCTTATTCCTTTGAGCTACAGGATCAGAATCCAACACCAAAATGACACGACCTCCTTCAACTTTGGGCATATGAACAACTCTCTCATTTCTCCATCCCTGTAAAAATTAAGCTAACAGTTAAAAGCTTCAATAAAATTACAAAATTTTTTATGCTTTCCATCAAAAAACATATTTTACTTTTCTACTTCAGGAAATAACAAAAGCGACAAGCAGACGATTCCTGAATTACATAAAGCATTTTAAATTGAACAAAATGAAAACATAAAGAAGATTTTTAATAGTTTTGAGGAAACATATGTACCTTGAATTGAATACCAAGAGTGAAGTTCTTGTGAAAAATGGAATGGTTCTTTTCATCAGCTTCATCTCCAGGAGAATACTTGACCCCACAAGTCGAACACCCATGGAGAAGAAAATCAGATTGACCTAACTCCAAATGAAACTGTGCATAACTTCTCTTCTTATTTAGATTTCTGGCATTGGAACCGCATTTTTTCTTTGAAAAGCCGTTCTCTGAAATGGGGTTTTCGAACTTTTCATTGCTTGATTCTTTTTTCGACTCATTCCTTCAAACAAAAAGCCAAGAAAAAAAAAACGAAAATAAATTCCAAAACCCAGAAAAATTCCATAACTATTTTCATAGAAAGAAAAACGTACCCTTGAATTTTTGAAGGTCTGCGCGTATAGGTGTTAACAATGGTGTGCTGACTCTTTTCCCAGGTGGCTAATTCATCGTTTTCGTCATCGCTGAAAACTGGAGGTGAATTTGAGGGCTCAATTGAAATAGAAGAAGGCTTGAAGAAGGAATTTATTTTGGATTGCATCTTTGATTTTTTTGGTTTTTTTGGATGATAGATAAATTGGTGAGAAAAGAATTTTTTTTATTTCTTTTATGGAGTTTTTGTTGCTTTGGCTCTGTTTAGATTTTAAAAGAGCACTAAAAATTGATTAGTATTCCCGCTTAAACTTAACCGGAATATCTCGTTTATAAATCTTCTTTCCCTCGACTTTCCAATTGGATTTTTTTTAAAAATAGTTTAAACTTTTAAAAGCTTTTTTTTCTTAAATTCTACTTCCCATATCATTTTTTTTTTGTTTTCCTTTTCTTTTCTTTTTAAATGTCCTAATTTTTTTTAATATATAAGACTTATACTTTTTATATTTTAAAATTATTTTTATTTTTTGACATTAAAATTCATAAAATTTTAATTTTATAAAAAAAATTTAAAATTTAATATTAAATACATTAAAATCAATTTTTTTTTTTAAATTTCGTGAAAATCAACAACCCTCAAACAATTTAAGACGAAAAGAGTATAATTAACTACCCCTTTTGGTCATGGCAAAAAAGATAAATTCAAAGCATCAGATAATACCATAAGCAAATGGATTCAGTATAAATCAAATGTCGTTTTGATAATTGATTTGCTTTATATCAATAAGTATTTGGTATACATTTCAGAGACAGCCACTTCAATGTAGTATTGATTTGCTTCACAAATATCTGAGAAAATTGAGAAAAAAAAAAAAAAAAAAAAGCAAGCTTTTTCCAAAATCTTTTGTGGAGTTAAATATTGAACCGGTAGGATCATCGAAAGAACCTGCCATCAGTCTCCTCATCGATCCCTTGTGCCTCTCAGACACCAAACACCCCATTAGATAAACGGAGCAAAGTAATCAGCTACAATTGCCAAATCAGATTAGCTGAATCAGCATTTCAGCTATATCCCATCGGAAAATTTGACCTGATTTACAGCCATAAATGGCTCTCATGGTTGACAGCTTGTAAATATGTGGTTCCCCCATTTTACTCCAGATCCCCTCCCTCCATCCTCAAAGTGGAGACCGTCTTTTGCTGCAAAGAGAAGGAATGTGAAATATAGATAGAGCAAATATGCAATGTTTATAGATAGAACAGTGGACAAACATCTTCATAATTCATAAATCGATGGTTAAAAAGGGACTTTGACACTTGAAAAAACAAGCGCAAATGAAGAAAAAAAGAAACACTCAAAAGGCAAGGAGTGTATGACGGAAGCATAATCTGCATAAACTTCAATAAATGGAGTTCAGACACCAAGTGCATTCAATTAAAAGTGAACATAGAATGTTGGATCACCCAATTAGTTTTTGCTAGAATGACTAGGATAATAAACGGCAACATGTTAAAATCAAGGATGCTCAATTAAGAAACTCAATGTTGAACCAAAAAATAAATGAATAAAATAACGAAACCCACCATGTACAAGTTCATAGGATCATTAGCCCACTGGTGATGTACTACTAACCATCTTTAATTGTTCAAATGAACATTGAAATCTGTGCCTTTCTTCGAGTGTCATCTTGAGTTCTGAAGACTGCAGGAACAATAAAATTGATAAAAAGAACATATAAATTAGTCACACAACCTGAAGACCATGCAGATATATAAAGTAAGCTAATTTGCTGTGGCCTGGTCCAAATAATAATTTAAACATGTTCATAAATTTCAAAATCATATGCTGTCAAAAGGTATTATATATAATCTACCAAGAATCAACCGGAAGGATCTGATAGGACTCAGAACCAGCAAGGAAAAGAAATTGTATCATCTTACTTACATAGCCAAATCAGGGGGAAAAGGGCATATTGCCCAAGGTAGAAGTTGCTATACTTTCACCTTTTAACAAAATTTGCAAGTCCACAGGACTAGACGTGCATTGCAGACCAAATAATGCAAACCAAAAGCCTTCTAAAATAAATGTGATTTTGGCCAATCATATGCATGTACAGACAGACTTAGCAATGGGTTTGGCACGTTAACACTGGAAGTTACTGAGCACAAGAATAAGTAACAGACACATACAAGAAGACATAAATGTTTAAAGGATGAGTAAAAGATACTTGTGAAATGTGAATTGTGATTAACACGCAAAAAGGAGTCAAATATTTTTAGAAGAATAATGCATGTTGCAAAATCATACCTGCAAAGAAGCTATTCTTTGCAAAATAGAGCCAACCTCTGTTCTGAATAAAGAGAGAATTTTCTGAACTTTAATGTCCTTATACATTAATAGAAGAAGAGAAACAGTTGCATTTATCCGACTTAAACTGTCAGTGGCATACTTGGTAGAAGTATGAGATGCAATTGACAAATTACTTGCAGTTAAAAATGAGCCAATCACATTCAAGACAAGCCCCAGAAGCTTGTTACTCCTATCAAACAAGAAAAAGCATGGTAGAAGGTGATATCGCCATGTACGAACATCATCTTTTGAAATACACTGCAAAAATCAAAAGACATTTGGCAATTAGAATCAACACAAAAATGTTGTCCTTAGAGCCAACATGATAAACAAAATTTCATTTGTTGGTTTTTCTACTGGTAGAAGTTAGCACATTTACAGCATATACACAGGCAGTAAGAAGTAAGAACAATTTATTAGAACCATCAAGGGAACCAAAAGATCACCACCAGCAACACTACTAAAAATGAGAAAGATAACAGGAGAACTGATATGAAACATTTATAATAGCAAAAAAGTCAAGGGCAAATGCTAACAACTTACAAGCACAACATCCATAAGATATCCTGGAAGGAAATTGCTAAGAGCAGTTATACTCTGTTCGGAAAGCCTAGTAGGTTTAGAATCCAACACGATGAGCACTCTCAACATTGCACATGCATTATCAAGAGGAGGCTCCAACAACTGCAAAAAGTTTAACACCACCATCAAGCATTGCTTGCAAATACTTTTTCAAGGAAGGGGCCAAATTGAATGAAAAAAAAAAAAAAAAACTTATCCAACCAAGTCCAAACTTTCATTCAGCATAGGCTACGGGTGAAATAACTAAAAAGAAGATGCAAGAAGTTCAGTCAACTTACTATGAGGTCAAGTATTGCTTTCTCTATTATTTGAAAAACAACAGAACTATCACCCATCTGTGACAAGCATGAGCAAACAATGCTGGTGATAGACTTTAAAGTTCCACAATTTGAAACTTTTACATCACTTTCTATAACAGGATATATATTTTCTGCAAATAGCAAATCCCCATTGAGATAGATATTAATTAATCGAGTACAAACACAAGTAAAAAATTAAAGTATCAAAAAAGAGAACAGATTAGTTATTTATTCTCATATAAACACATGCACCATGAAGCTCCTTCTTCCCTACCATAAAAGGGGGAGTATTAGGGGCAACCAAAACAATAGAATCTAAAAGACCAACCTCTTTGTTATTAAGAAGTCAAAAATTTACAAACAATCACATTATGGAGCACTCAAATATGCGATTATGGATCTATAACCAAATGCACCTAAAGGGTTACCCGGAATATTTAGAAATGTTAAAAAAAAAAAAAAGGAGAGGACGAAATCCTGTAATCAACAAAAATGGAAAGGTGAATGTAATTCTGAAATACCAGGGAAAACTTTGAAACAAGATAGTAAAGTCATGAAGAAGCTGATGTGGTCAGCAATTTGGATGTGTCCAGCTTTGTAGGTGGCATGCAGAACCTCTATAATACGGAAGAATACAAAGGGCTCCAGTTCAGGACCTGCAATATGCAGAGGCGACAGACATTAAAAAAAAGACATGTTCTATGACAATCAGAGGACATGCAACTTTTCTATTTTAAAAATCTTCACACCAAATTTAAGTTAAGATCATCCATTAAAGGGAAAAAGAAGATGCTGGTAATAGCAAGCACCACAGATGTCCAAACACATATTTCACTTCTTTTATAGGGATGAATTTTGGAAATATAAGACAATTTGTCTTTCACTAAAGTAAAATAATACTGCCTCCTTCCTAACTTAGATGTCCACCTTTCCATTTTGGGATGTCTAAAACTTGGTCTCTTTTCTTTTTTAAACACCTCAAACCTTTTTTTTTTTTCATATTGATTCTCAAGATTAATTTTATTTAAATGTTTTGGCATTTAACAAATTAAAAGTTTAATAAAAGAACCTAAGGTCAAAGGTTTTTCCTAAAACCAACAAATGGTAAGTTTCACTTACAAAAGCAACAAGAAGCTATTGATTTCAGCAAAGGTGTACTCAAGTTGGAGAAATAATAAAGGCAACAGATAGACAACTCTTGAGAATCCCTAGGAAGTTTCATGAAAGGACCATAGTATATGTTTCCTGCAACAAAAGGAAATGGAAGACAAGTCAAATCTTAAGAGTAGACTTTTCTCATTAACTAAAGTTTCTGTATGAATTAACTTATACCTTCTTGACATGTGCTGTAAAACTCACTGAGTGCAAATTGAGTATTTTCGTATTCCCAAAGAAGGAAAGAGCTTGAAGATGCAAATTGTCCCAGCCGAAGTAGAAGGCGCAACACAACCTGAGGAGCAAGGGAAATAGTTACTGTTGTTTACAAGATTAACAAATTGGATCATCAGAAGACAATTATCTCATTTAAGGGGCCCTACCCTTTTCAACTTCCATAATTTTGTCCAAAGTCTAAATATGTTGGTGAAGCTCATAAGGTAAAACAGATTAATACCTGGGAAGAGGATGGCTGTTTATCACCAATAAGGATTAGCAATAAGGGCAGCTCTCTTATCCAAATGGTCTGATAGTCTAATACCACAGTATTACTTGCTTCAGTATAGTTCATATCTCCTCTCTGTAATTTGAAAAGGATTATTAGATTAATTTTCAGGTGGTGTGAAGGAGGAGGGCCAAAAAGAGAGAAGATTGCACGGGCATACGATCACTTTTTAGAGAGAAAATTTCTCTCTCAAAAAGTATCAAATTTAGCTTACAGGAATTAGCATTTCTTCAATCACGGACAGGCAAGCCAATTTAAGTGAAGACTCTGGATTGCAATCCTTGAATGTCTGTGTAAATGCCTGCAATAAAGTTCTGATTGGTTATTCAGCATTTCTCAAGATCTATGAAACAAAATCTACATCCGCATGGCCTCCTAAACGCAAGAAAAGCAGAGTCAAGGAAACAGAGAAAAACCAATCAATATAATTTGCTTAAATGATGCTCTTTTAAAATAAAACTCAACCTCAAGAAGACACGACTGCCAACCAGTTGTCACTTCTGATACCAGTTTAGGAATGAAAGGAAGCAATGAAGGCACATGCTTTTCCCATGTCGCTTTACCAGATCGTGTGCTACTACAAATCTGCAAAATGTAAGTTATGAGAAACCAACTCTAACTGCACAGTCTGCACTCAATGATATAAAATGAGTCCTACAGTTGAGAGCATCAAATTACTTTAAAAACACTAAACTAATATAGATAAGTTTCATCAATAGAAGTATAATTACAAAAAAAAAAAATCAAAATTCTCTTCAGCAATTAAAAATGCAAACCTCATAAGCAGAGGAAAATTACTCTGAGGTAGACAACTGATTCATCAACCAAGCCTCAAAAGGAAAAAAAAAAAAATGCAACATGTATAAATACTTCCTTCTACACTAAATTTTCTTTGACTTTAACCATGTTAAACCCTATTCCAATTTTCGTTGGTTCTTACCCTTTCAAGAACTGTCCCCTACTATATAACCAACAATCGAACTCTCTGAATTGCTGAAATTTGAAAGATTGTGTACAGGTAAACATCCATCTTCCAAAAATTGCAATGACTGTCGGCCATGTTCAATGTAAGGAACATAACCAACATCATTATGGTGTGGTCTCATAAAACATAGACACCCACTCTGGCCAACCTAATTGTTTTCTGAATTCCCAATAGAAGACTAGAATGGGTACAAAACATAACCTATTGAATCTTAAGAATTTATAAGTTGGATCAGAATTTAAAAAAAAAGAAAAAATCATGGTTGCATGATCTTTAAATTGAAAGCTGCAGGTTGTTACTTCAATAAGCTAGCTCTGAAAGAAAACAGATAAAGGAGCCAAGATGGTTTCAAGAAGCAGACCTTGCCAAGCAGTGCATTTTCTATAAACTCCAGAAATTTCTCAAACACATCTGCAGAAGGGCAGATCCATTCGTGGAAATGCAAAAATATCTCCGTTATCACAATGTTCAAGATAAAATATCTATCATCCTCCTGAAAGGCAAAATAGAAAAGGTCATGCACTAAAATTAAGGAAAACACAAGAACAGTTAATAGAGTAATCATCTAATAGTTAGGAGAAAGGATTATGACACACACTAACACATAAGACAAAGGAAGAGAAAGGGGGGGCAGTATACATATTTCTCAATTCGACTGCACAACAGATGGGGCTGATCAATACACATATTAATCAATGAGTTACGTGTTTCTACAGAAGCAATTCTTTTCCAAAGTTCTCTGGATATCAACATGACAATCATGTTGTTTCATGTAAAGAGGAGCAAAAGACTGCCACAGGAGAAGGTTCCAATTTCTATGCACTTACATCAAGTCCCAAATGCTTAGTATAAAGTATAAGTCAATAAAAATGAAAAGTAGCAACAACTGAAGCATTAGTCTATAGAATGCAAGATAGCACTGCATCCAATAGTGACTCAAACTCTCCATCAATTTTGTTTTATTACTGCTAGACTATGAAAAAGGTCAACTGAACGTTTTTACAGAATCAGATGCACATGAATGGTAAGAAATTAAGAGGAAGTTTTAAGAAACAAAAGATAAGAAAGATCACTTAGAGAGTAGAAATGGTGATACGGAAAGTTATGGTAAGGAGGTACCTTTACAGAAAGGTGATGTTTTGGATAGAGGGGAAATACCCCCAGTAACTTCTTCAACAAGCCTAATGAGAGAGTTTGATCCACTCTTCCTAGGAGAGACTTTGATTCTGGTGTTTCCTCATGGGAAACATAAATAAAAAACCTTAATGCAATGTCTATGCTTTGAAGTATGGACAATATACAATCAAATGATGGTGCATCCAGTTGCGGCATAGAATTAAGCAATGGAATAAAGTCTTGAAAACAGTTGATTAAAACTAACACAAGCTCCTTTAATTTCTTGATGATGACAGAGAACCCTACAAAAACAAAAACATAGATGTTAAAACCAGAGGATACCAGTACACTTTTTTACCTGCCAAATGAGAAAACTGAAAGAAAGAATAAAGTTGAGAAATTCTGAAGCAGATTAGTTTGCAAGGAAAGAGGGAAAGAAGGCAAGGGTTAAGAAACTTTGCAATTTAGATCACTTGTTATCATTGTAACTATAGAATTCAATGTCGATTGCCAGATATGGAACTTCACCTACTCCATTAGTAAGAGATGACAGAAAATGCACGAGTTGAATACTTTAAAGAACAACAAACAGAAAATGGTGCAAAAAAAGAAGACTAATAACTAAAGATTTTGTGAGAAAAACTCGTACAAGGCATAAATGCATCAGAAACAGGACTCTGCACCTTCAGTATAATGGTAAGTAACATGTTGCCATGCTGTGCATAAGCATGTTAACATGAAGCAGAAACATAAAAGACAAGGTGCATTAAGCTTTCACATACCAGCATTCTCTGTTGGTGCATCAGGCTCAAAAGCATGAATTATCCTGTCTCCTGAAATATTCTACGAAATTAAATGGAAATAAATAGAAACATTAGAAGTCGGGAAGTTCCTAAAGACAAAATGCTTAACTAACAAAACACAGGTATTATAAATAGTAACTAAAAGTCTAAAATTATCCTATTAAACTAAAAAGATGAAGATTCATAACCTCGTATTTTTCTGCAAAAATCAGATAACCAAGAAAAGTGGTACACACCTGATTGACAATAAGAACATACCTTTTCAGGTTCAGGCTTTTTACTTGGCAACAGTGACAAGCAGCGGACTAACCCAGAAAGAGTACTTTTGAGCTTTCCCTTGTCTTCCAAATAAAACTGGTTCTTCCTTAAAATATCTTCATAGCTCTGAAGAATCTGCTCATCAAACAACCAATGAAAAACAGACAAACTAAAAAATAAAAGATAGAAAAAGATAACAATAAGAAATAGTTACCTAAATTAATTCGAATGGGAGTACCATCATTGTAAACAAAAAAGTTTTGAAGAAAAAAAAAATAGAAAATACGACGACATAGAATAAGGACTATGACTATACTACAAATTTTTACAAAGATCCATCACCTAATTTTATCTTGAGAACTCAACAATACCCATTTCCAAGGAAATCAAAAGACGCTTTAACATCTAATATGAAAGCAACTCTTTTCTTGCATATATGAATTTCTTCACAAGTTTCTTATTTTAACAATGCCAATAAACAAATGTAATAATTGCAAATGACTAATAAAAATGATTGAATGCATGTACCTTTTCAGCATATAAGGAAAAGCAAGGAGGATAGAATTGCACAACAAGATCAAAAAATTTGAAAGCCATCAAGCGGATGTCAATTGCTAAATTTGTCATTGCATTGAAAATATAAGTCATCATCAAGGAAATGTAAGGCCCTTGATTATCCTGGACAAGAAAAGCCAAAAACCTATTGTTAGTTAAATGGATAAGAACGATCACAATAAAAAATAATAAATGGAAGAAATTAGGTACAATAATATCTGAATTCACAGGACAACAAAAGAAGTGGAACGCGTAGAAAAGATGAATAACTAGAAAGAAACTCTAAAGCATGATTATTTTTCTTAAAGATATATACGAAGCCAATTCTTATTCCTGAGAACAATAATCTGTAGTAAACGCACACCAACAAATGATACTGATTCATTCCCCTAAGCAGCACTCCACCCTGGGTTGCATTTAAACTATGAGCAATTTAATATCTTAAGAACCGCATCAACATATAAAAAATTCCGAACTTATATACAAACAACACATAACAAACCCACTCAGAATTTCTCCTGCTTATTTGAGCAAATATGCAATGAAACAATATAAACTAGTTCAAACATACCCTGTGAACATCTAATAAATAACACTAAAAGCCAAAGCATAAAGATCTCATCATCACTTAAGTCTCTACCCAATATAATCAGGTGGTAATACAGAAAGATATCATGGCAAATTTAAGCTTTGAAAGTAGACACCGGCTTTGAGTTAGAGTAAACAAGCAAAAGGGGGAAGAAAAATCACCTCAGCACAACCAGGGATAATTTCAGACTTAAACAGTTGGTATAATGCTTCTCTAACTACTTTATCATCATCACTTATGCGCTCCCGCAGTTTTTCTATAACTGCATATCTATGCAACCTCAACTCTGTTGGATGCTTAAGGACTAGATCCTTGATGCCCATTAGTGCATCTTCAAAGAGAACAAAACTTATGTCAAGATCAATTTATGGCACTCAAATACAAAGAGTCATTTAAAAAAGAAAAGAAAAACCAACAAGAACAACAGTTTATAATTCCAAAATTTAAAAAAATAATAATAATAATGCACTTGAACAATAAAAGTTTATAATTCTTTGAAATCTTAAAAGAATTCTACTGAGAACAAGGGAAAAAAAAGAGTAACCTCTTCGAACTTTGGCATTGTGATGAGATGTTTGCTGAAGAAGTTCTTTCAAAGTCAATCCCTTCTTGCTCACAGCTAAACCTTCCTTGTTTGTTGCCACACTCTGCTCAGGAAGTACAATTGCTGCTCTCGCAACACACACGAAAAGTGGATTTCCATCAGTAAGAATACTTCTAATAAATCTAACAAGAACGCACTTAAAATTTCAAGATCAAAACTAAGAATTTTTGTGGCAAATAACCGTTTTAAATTCAATTTTCAGTTCTAAACAAAAAGCATACTAATTCAAGTAAATTTGACACATAAATGAACTTCTCATTTGTCACCTTTGGATTTAATTTCAGTATTGGTGGCATTCTTGGGCGGAGGCAATTTCCTGCCAAGCTTTCTCTTAATTTTCTGCAAATAAATTCAAATAAAAAATATTTAAAAAAAAGTAACCAGAAATAAAGGAAAAAAGAATCTAAACATTAGTAACAGAAATTACTTTGAAATCTATGCCTTTCTTTTGCTGCTTCTTCGAAGGAGCCTTGGAACGCACCATTTTACTATACAATAAGCCAAAAATTACAAATTCTACTTGGACATAAATTAAAAAAAATCAAAGTAAAAAAGAAAAAAATCACGAAATTCATCTTAATCTTACCTACAAATATTTGCTTTGGCTTCGAAAAAAAAAAAAAAACAGCGGAAAAAGGAGGTTTTTCTTTGCAAAGAAGCTTAATGCAGTGAAAAAGAACCGGTTCCGCTCGAGTACAAGGGTTTTAGTGAGTCGGCTACTCGGCTCACACCCACCGGCCTCCATTTAATAAAAGTATTTCCTTTTATGAAATGGTAGTTGCCACGTAAGTCGGCAAAGGGTCCAAAGTCCAAACAATTCGTCCAATTAGGGTTAGGCAAGCGGGCTTGGGTCCAAATAGGACCTTTCTTTTTGGGCTAAATTGATAACTGGGTTTTGAGTTGGGCTGAGCATTAGAGCATTTGCACGACTGGACAAGACTCGGTTTATTAACTTTATGTCTCTCTCCTTACTGGATGACCGCCGAGAATTGGAATTTTTTACTTCTAACCCGTTCAGAGCTTCCCGTTTCTCGAATCTTCGGACAATTAACAAAACCTAATGCTGCAACAGCACCATCAACAGCATCAACACCACCTTCAGACCGCGGTCACCGCGGCACCGCCTCCGCCGGCAGCGTCGTCAACACCTTCGTCATCAACCACCGGGGAGGCGCCGCCGAAGCAGGTGGCTCTAGCGATGGATAGACTAGGACACGCTGCAAGACTCATCGCCGATATTCGTCTAGGTGCCGATCGACTTCTGGAAGCCCTATTTGTCGCCGCGCAGCCGCATCAAAGCTCCAAACCTCTTCACTTGTTTCGCCAAGAAGACGAATCCATGCGCCAACACCTCCAAGACCTACGCACCGTCGGTAAACAAGAAATGAAAAGTTTTTGTCTTAATATTTGAAATGATGTTGCTATGGAGGCTTAGGTTTTTGAAAATTGTATTTGATTTTCTCGTTAGGAAGGCAGCTGGAGGAATCTGGAGTGTTAAACGAGTCACTTAGGTCAAGGAGTAATTCTTGGGGTTTGCATATGCCGTTAGTGTGTCCTGACGGCGCCGTGGTGGCTTATGCTTGGAAACGACAGCTTGCTGGCCAGGCTGGTGCATCTGCTGTTGACAGGACGAGGTTCGTAGTCATAGACATGGCAGCTGTTTGATAACATTGATTTGTACTTAATCTTTGATGCAATGCCTTTATGAGTTGATATTGTTAGTTGTAAAATCATATATGGGAATTTTAGTTGCCTATTAAGTTTAGGGTTTAGGAATTGTTACAGGGAAGTAAGGGATCCAGCACTAGCACTTTCTGATACCATTATGCTAAATTGCATGTGTCGGCTTGAATAAAGAATATTTTGAGGTTCAGATTGAAATGGATGTGAATAGTGATGAGGATGCAAATTTGTTAGTAAAATTTTAAGTCTTTTTCATTTTAGTAGATTGTGAGATGGTGTAACATGATATATGAATTGCTTGATGTTGTTTTAAATGGTTCACTGGCTTCTGCTCTTATAAAGTAGATTTTGTTAACTACTTGTTTCATAGGTGTTGCTAGCTTGCATTGCTCTAATACTGAATGAATAAAGGTTGGAATGCTCATGAACAAGGATTGAAACTAAGCTCCTAACTCAGTGGCTAGCCTTAGTCTCGGGACACAGAATTGCAAAGGAGTTGCTTTGAATACAGAACGAAATGATTTTTTGACACTAACTCTGTGTTATCATTTGCTAACTTAATGTGCATTGCTTATGGCAAACTGTTTTGTTGTGCTGTTTTTCTTGCATTTCAATTTTCCATTCAATATCATCATTTTACATTGCAGCATAATACTACTATACAGTTTGTTCTTTTTAACTAGTATGCTTTTGTTGGCTCACAATTGTTTGTGCTGAAATTTGAGATTGTCTAATTGATTATCTAATGCTTCTAAATTTCACAGGCTTGCTCTCAAAGCCTTCACAGACCAGAAAAGGCGATTTTTTCCTCACCTTGATGATGAAGAGGATGGTCAGGGTACTGACTCTGTGTCAAAGAAACGCCGCAATTTGCAAGCTCTGGCTGAAGATAATCAAGATAATCTTAGCAATTGCAAAACACTATCTGATGTTTTGACTAGTTTGGAGAAAGACATGCCAAATCTGAAAGTTTTGACCTATGAGCGACTGGATTGGTTGAAAAGAGCTTCTTCATTGCCTGCTTCAGCAATTGATAATACCATGGAAGCACCAAAACATAATTTTCACAGCTCAAGTATACTTAGACCAGCACCCCAGAATGTTGTTGCTATGGATAAGATTGCTGTAATCGAGCTGTTCTTTCCTTCTGTCTTCAGAGCTGTAGTCTCATTACATCCTGCTGGTTCAACTGATCCTGATTCAGTGGCATTCTTTTCTCCGGATGAGGTAATCTTTTAAGAAGATGCAAATGCTTCTTGTTCTCTTTTTTGATATTCATTATTAAACCTTTGATCTGCATATGACCATCGAAGAGGCAAATGGTGGTTATCTTTTGTGATTCGTAAAGCTTGTCCTATTAGCCATGTGGTAGAGGAGTTGAGTAGTTTTACATAGTAAAGATGTTTCTTTGTTAGTATCTTTTGAAGCTTCTATATATGCATCCCTGCATAGAAGCAGAGGCAAATGAAGCACGTAATATAATCACGGATTCACAATTTTGTTGAAATTGATTGAGCCTATTCAAGGCTCAAATTCTTCTCAAAGCTAATTAGTCTAGTTCAAGCTTGGTTTCACCTTTAACTGAGCTTCGGCTTGAGCTTGTTCATGAGTCTGTATAACAGACTATTGGCTTATTGGTTGTTTCTGTTGGACTTGGCTGGTGCCTTGGTAAGTTTTGATGCCATTTGAAAGTGAAGATGCAATGGGAACTCGTTTTTTTTTTTGTTGGCCAAACAATGGGAACTCAATTTGCTGGCAGAAAGTTGACCGGGAATCATGTTCCAATTTCCAAACCCTGAGTTTATTTCCTTCAATAGTTTACAGTTCAAAGCTGCAATTTTGGGGCTGGACCATAGCTTATTTTGTGATTTCACTAGAAAGGGAGAGTGCAAACCACCATTCTGCTCGTAATAATACCTTTGTTAGCATTATCATATTCAGTTTGGTACCATATATGCTCGTTACATGGGGAAATTAATTTTGACCATCATATTATAGCTTGGTTAGCTTTTGAAGCTTTTGATTGCTTGTTGCCTCTCCATAAAGCATTTCAATTGCAATTCTGTATTTACCTTTTACATTTTTGCACAGGGCGGCAGCTACATACATGCTAGAGGCTATTCGGTCTACCATGTATTTAGACAGATTACGGTAACAATCTTTGTAGCTAGTTTTATGTTTTCCGTTCTCTCCAGTTCGGGTTAAATATATCCTCTAAACTAAAGCTTTCTTTTATACTTCTAATTATTGCCCTATTGCAGGAGCATGCTACTGTCGCCCTCCAGTATTTCCTTGGAATCAGAAGTGAAACAGCATTGCATTTTCTTTTGGTAGGGTGTCTGTAACAATTTGTGAATTATTATTCAATTTTTAGCAACCATTTCATGCTAATGATGTACTTATTCTTTTGTTTTGTAGCACTGGATTTGCAGCTATCAGACTTTATTTACCAAAGTCTGCAGGTATGATTTCTTTCCCGTTCATTTTTATAATGATCTCCATAGCTTGTAGTATTTTGTAGTAATAAAATGATGAACCTACTGGTACAGCAAATGTGGACGGCTACTGGCAATGGACAGGCAATCAGCTTTGCTCTTACCACCTGTCCATCGTCCTTATCAAACCTTTTCTGCTTCAAAAATATCAACTCAATCCATTTCCTCAACAGGAGACCAAAGTTGTAATGCCCCTGCTGCTTATCATATTGGTTGCTTCACAGAGGACTTATAGTTCATTCTAGTTTCTGTTAGCCAAGTTGTTGTAGCTGAGCTAGGAAATAGAAAAATTGAAATTGATACTAGTGACGAAACAGGTTGTCAAAGTTACCTATTGTAGGGCAATAGTTCTTTTTTCGTTCTTCCTTTCCTCCTCCCCCCTTCATCCATCTATCTTCAGCTAGTGAACTCCAGAAAGTGTGTTCTTTGTATCATCCAGTCTTGGTGGTGTGTTAATATTTTTAACAAACGACTGTTCTTGCTTAAATCCTTCATTTGCAGTCATATACTGTAATATTCTGATGGAAAAGGGAAAAGTTGTTGCACCATGAAAATTACCCCTCAAATAAATGGTTAAAAAAGCTTGATTTAAATGGGTTGTAACTTTCAGAAGTTTTCATCATCATCATCATCATGATCATCATCGTAATGTTGTGCTGTTACCTTCCTTGACTAATTCCAGCATCATCGTAATGCATGCACGACCTTCATCACACATCTTAGATAGTCATTATCTCGTTGATAACAGGCAATAAAAAAAAGGGACAATTGTACTTGTCGATGCCTAACACCATTATTAGGGGTATGATCGAAACTCAACGCATTTTCTTACATCATTTACCACTTCCCTTTATCCAAAGAAAAGTAGTAGTACTATTAAAATCTCAATAAATCAACCGAATAATAACCAATTGGCAAAGCCATCCAAAAATTACAGGAAATTAAAGGGCCAAGCATGTGTGGAGCTGTGCAACTCTATCATTGGAAGTTAACCAGGTAACCCACACGTCATGTTGGTGTTGGTTGTTTCATAGTAATAATTGAGTCAGGATGCATCTAAGTTCGCAAATGACAATGACAAAGCTACCTTTCTATTGGGCTACACGATGCAGTGAACTCCCCCACCTTCTTCCTTCTGTCTTGGCAGCTTATAGTTTATTCCCCCAACTGAATTAATTTGATCCATGGATGGTGGTGCCATAGGCAAGAGCCAAAACATGATTGCCTGTCACACTATATTTTGTTGAATTGAGCCAAACTTCCATAATGTTTATGCCTTTATGGGTAAATTTGCTTGTGGAGGTGCCGGATCTGGTGTTGGCTCGAGACGGTGTTAAAGGATGACTTTCACGGAAATAAAATATCAATGATGTCCCATCATATACTTGATAATAGACAAAAAAGATGAAACAGAGGAACTGGACTCACAAATATAAAATGCCAACGGTGTCCGACCATGTAGGCATGTGTTTATGGGAAATGTGTTGCTGTACTGCAAAACTAAGATGGCTTCAGTTTTACAATATTTCAGACCTTTAGTACGTTATCAGAACTCATTGTCAGGTTTCAAAGCCTTCTTGATATTGGTTTCCTAACATCATGGAAGTTATATCTGGTCTCAATGTTACCAAAGAACATAGTAACATTGGTCATCTCGTAAAAGGGTTCTTGATCCAATATTTGAATCTTACACGGTGACACTTGAATCTTATAGGTTTATCATTCATGTCTTGTTGTATAACTATAAACCAACAATAGCTCACCACATAAATTGAGACAAAACTGTTACATTATACAGAATTACTTAGAAGGAAGAGACCAGAGAGAGCTTAGATGGGTCAGATTTTGGAAGTGCAGGAGTTTTTATCTTTTTTGGGAAGTAGAAGGGATGCAAATAGAGAGTTGCATTGTAGGTTGGGAAAATAAATGGACTTTATTATAGAGCACCTAGACCCTGAATTTTCACATTCAGAGACAAAAACTTCTCACTTGTTTTCTTAGAATCGGTCAGAATTGCAATTTTTAGCAGATAAATCCAAGGGTGGTAAGGGTCATATTCATCTTATAGTGAAACAGTCAATAATTGTTTCATGCTTTGGGTTTTCCCCTGAACTCCAGAAACAAATAAATGGATAGAGTGAGAGGAGCAATCAAAGATAACCCTTTTGTTCATACAAGAGTAAAAAAGTTAAAGCATCAATGCTAATGACCTCTGATCAAGGCAAACAAAAAGGAAAAGTAAAAAAGAAGGGAACTAGAATTAAAGTGTTGGTTAGTGTAGGTGCTACAGGTATAATTAAATCCAACCAATCTAAATAAATGGAGCTGATTTCATGTACTTGATTTGTAGTTCTGAATACCATTATATGGTCAGTTTTGGTTCATTTTCAGGCATTGATTGTTCTGAATCAGAATTATTGTGGCTACCAAGAAGCCTCTGCCCGGCAAACTAGTCAAAGCAACCTACACCAATGCAATTTTTCCCTCTTCAAACGTTAACATATCAGCCAAAATTGCCATGGAACATTTCACATTGGTTCACAACATGCTCTGTTCTTATCAAGATATGAATCGAGGACCAAGAGGTTTGGGGCCAAATTGATTCCGCTTCAGGGGAGTCTTTAGTGACATACATACATACATATACATAGTATGTATGTATGTATGTATGTATGTATGTATGTATGTATGTATGTATGTATGTATGCATGCCAGCCATATGTCCAGAGACTTAACATGTATTCTGGAGAAACAATTGGTATCAAAAAAGTAATTTGAATGTAGGCATTTTCCTACATACTCTAAAGAATGACTTTCATCTGATGTTGGCTGCGTACTCTATCAAGGTAATAATAAATAGTTCTCATTCGCCATTGCTCTCTATCTACATCATCATAAGCAAGCAAATATTACAACTCAAAACAAAACACCTAGACTAGAGACTATAATTTAAATATCCAGAAATCCACCAATAACGCAATCCAGTAAGAAAACATTATATATTGACATTGAATTTTCAGATAGATAGAACACAAACAGCTATCTACAACTACCAAATGAACAAGGAATTCAAAGAAATGCAACAAAGTACCTCTTTTATCGACCATCAGCAGAAGTGAATGACTCTGCAAAACCAGTAGGCCTAGCTGGGATACTACCTTTGCTGTCTTCTAGGTCCATATAACTAAAATCCTTTCCTTCTGCTTCCTGCCAACCCTTCACCATTTGGTTAAGTGGAAGGCTGTAATCAATCCCACAATAGTCATCACTATCATCATCCAGTGGTTTCCATTTTTCAACAAGTGGAGCCAATACATTCACAGCATGGCCCATGTCTGGCCGTTGGCTGGGTTCCCTTGCAGTGCAATGTCCAGCAAGTTCAGCAATGATGGAGATACTCTCAAACGTTTCATCTTTTACGTCAAGAGCTGGGTCAATAGCAGCCCTCAGTTTCTCCTTGTCTGATTTGATATGCCAGAACCATGCAGCTAAGTACTGGGTCTCTTCAGGTCTATCCTCATCAAGTGCCATTAATCCAGTCAGAAGTTCCATCAGCACAACACCGAAGCTAAAGACATCTGCTTTGGTTGTGATTTTTCCTGTCACTGAATTGATTGGCACGTGAAATTAGAGTCAATACAAAAAACAAAAGGACATCAAGAGCAACAACTATGGTTCTACAGGATGCCATTCAACTGCTTAAACATAAGTAAAATTTCTTGTTGCTAGTAAGTCCAGATGCTTTATTTTCAAGTGCTGAGTTTCTTCCGTTGAGATTATACATCACAATTTGAGCATATGTATTTTCCAAATGTCAATTGAAGGGCAACACCAAAGATTTGAACTTTCTTTTTTATTTTGATCTAACAACAAAAAATTTCACAACATGCAAACTTGGGTCAATGTGAAAGGTTTTAACTCAAACTGCAATGTGGAGCTTAGTTCAAAGATCTGATTTGTTTTGGCCAGCCAAAAATCAGATTCAAAAGTGAATATATATGATAGATATGCTTCAAAAAGTCTATAAACTTGACCAAACCAACTTAAAATCCTCTAGAGCAGCTTACTACTAACATATGCTACATGCAAGAAGTCCTTGTAACTCCAAGGAGGCAACTCAAGCTACATATAGAAAGAAAGTTAGAACAGTAAAAATTTTAAACATATTAACTCTTTCTTTGAGAAAATTTATCATGTCTATTTACTCTTAATCTCATTGCAAATGATTGGAAAACCTTAGACGGGTTGCTTACCAGCATATTCTGGTGCTAAGTAACCAAAAGTCCCTGCAAGCCTGGTCACAACAGATTTCTCCCCATCAGGAGCAAGTTTGACCAAACCAAAATCTGAAACTTTTGCTCTGAAATCATCACCAAGTAAAATATTTGAAGACTTAAGATCTCTATGTATGAAGCTTTGGTGAGCCAGACTGTGAAGATACTCCATTCCTCTGGCTACATCCAAGGCAATATTCAGCCGCCTCTTCCAAGATAGAGGCTCCAATTTTAGGCTCTTCCAACGGAAAAGATGCTTACTAAGAGCTCCTTGAGACATATATTCATAAACAAGAATTCTCTCATTGCCTTCAATGGAATAACCCAAAAGAGAAACCAAATGACGGTGCCGTACCTTTGAAAGAACTGCAATTTCAGCCTGGAATTCATCCAAAGGCCTTACTTGTAATCACACCAGCCTCCATTCTTTTAACTGCAATTTGTGTTCCATCATCTAGTTCCCCTTTATAAACTACACCAAAGCCACCACGGCCAAGCTCATTTTCTGGTGCGAAGTTTTTTGTCACATTTCTAAGAACTTGAACTGATATGATCAAATTTCCAGCTTCAATGACATGAGATTCCCCAATGCTGCTACTGTTTCTGCTTGCAGAACCACTCCCAGTTAGTGTAGAAGTGCTTCCATTGGTGTTATTGGCAACAACAACCTTAACTACATTATCTGAATCAGATGGATCCCTTGGGTGGATTACCAGGGAAGTTGAAGCCAACTTACTGTCCTTTCTCTTTTTATAACAGTAGATGGATAGAGGCATGACCAGAAAAGCAAGAACCGCAAAACTTGCAACAGGAGCAAGTATTGAAACATATGTGTTTCTTTTCAAACCTTTTGTTTTGATTGATTCCACAGAAGAATAAGTGGGACTAGCACCTGTACCTTTCGATGAGGTAGATGGGCTATTTGGTGGAGAATCTGAACTCTCAGATGGTGTATTGTTCCCAGCGGAAGGGGCTGTCTTATCACCACCCAATAAAGGATTACCAGCTGTTACAAGCTTCACAGTGCTACTAAACTTTGGTAATGGACCAGATATGTTATTGCCACTGAGATCCAAAGTTTCTAGTGATTTCAAGCTAGTCCAGTTACTAGGAATCGGACCACTTAGATTGTTAGATTGAAGCCTAATTTGAGATAGGGAGTCCAACTTTGCAACTGAAGAACTCAAAGTACCAGAGAGATTATAATGTGGCAAGTTTATGATTGAAACCTTCCCACTATTGCATCTAATTCCCACCCAATTGCAAGGCTCATTATCAGACCAGGAAGAAACAAGCCTGGGAGGGTAATTCACCCCACCGAGAAACCCTAAAAGCGCCATAACTTCTGGGGAGCAAAGAAGCCCCTGAGTGGCTTGACATAACTTATTTGAAGCATAAGTCACATTTGACGCTTTAAATATTGGAATTGGACCCATCAACTGATTATTGTTTAAATCTAAGTTATCCAAACTCATATCTGCTAAACTACCTGGAATCAGGCCAACAAGGTTGTTACGATTAAGATTGAGATCCTTCAAGAGAGTTAAGTTACCAATGTTCTCTGGAATTGGTCCTGTGAACTGATTCCCATGCAGCCATAGTACTGTGAGGTTCTTCATCGTTGCCGCAACATCAATTGGACCTGTCATCCCCCCACCAAGCTGATCATTCAGCCAAAGCATCTGCAGAGCACTGTCATTGAAAGTCCTCGGAATTTCACCAGACAAATTATTACCAGAAAGCTTCAAGTTTGTCAAGGAAAACATGGA